AAAACAGTTGCAAATTAAAATAAGTAAATGCAAAAAAATTTTTTTGAAATTAATTAAACGATTAATTCTCTAAAAGTGTAAAAGCAGTTCTCTACAGTACAGTATCAAATCCTTCTTTTTTTCCATACTTATCATTTTTGCTTCACTTGAATGACTAAAGATCCATTATAAATGAATAACTAATTGTAAAAAAAATTTCACATCTTATATTCCGTTTTTTTACCTATTTCTGTGAAATTTTTTATTTTTTTAATTATCAGTTTGAACGATTGCTGACCAACAACGTCCGTTGGTCATCCGTTAATCATTGTTCAAAGTTATCAGCCAACAATATCAGCATTCTAACAATTTGTTCATCAGACCCTCAAATTTTTTTGTCTTGGATAGTTTTACTGGTTTTTTTCCCTTCCAGAGATGAATAAAAGTTTGGTAGCAACACATTGCTTCTTTTCTTTTTTGTTTTAAAACTCTTTGAATAACTTCAATTTTACAGTGACAGTAAAGCAAAAGTTTGATTTGACGTTTAGACATCACTTTTATCCATTTTCCCTCACCATTTATAAAACCAAAATTTAGGTTATATCACTGATCCAAAGAATCAAATTGTTTTTAAACACGCATACTCACATACAAAAAAAATAGACAAATGAATGAAAATTTAGGCGTCAGTACGGCTTTTTTTCATCCTCCGTTCACCTCAGCATTCCTTACACCCCCATGCCCCCCCACCCCCCTTCCCTCCTCTCTCCTCAGTGCCGTCTCCTTCTTTCTTTTATCCTTCCGTTTGTTTATCTTTTCACCAAATTCTCCTCCCAGTTTGGTATAAATCGGCCTTTAAAAGACAACTAGAAAAATTGAAAACAGATAAAACTTTTTTCCAGTTCTATAGTGATGTATCAGTAATGACAAAATAACAGCAGTTTAAAACTTACAGTCAAAATTTTAAATTACACAAAAAATAAACTACTCTGAAAAATTTCAGACTATGTAAAGAAAATCTTGGCAAATAATGCCAAAGTTAAAAACAACATTTTCTCCATCTTTATCGCCAACGCCACTCATCAGTATCCTGAACATTATTCCACCACCCCAGCTTCAACTTCCCGACTGGCCATATCATCTCCAACTCCATACAAGCGACAGGTACAAACAGGTACGATTCGGTGTAAAAAAGCATTCCCAACTTCGAACAAAAAAATCTGCTTTTTTTTTTTAAAAAATCACCAGTAAATATTTGTTTTTTATTCTACAGGTTGATCAGTAAAACAAAAAAAAAAGGATAGAATTTAGGGTAAAAGTCAAGAGCAACGGCGATACATTTACCATCGCCACATTGTTAGATTGTTTGATAACTGTAAATAATCAGTAAAAACAAAGATGGAGAAAAATTAGCAGTGAAGTGAGCGAACAAATACAGCAAAGCAAAAATTGAAGAAAAAAAAAACAAATGAATAAAAACGAAAACAGCTGAACAATATTATTAACATTCGTTTTTTCTGCATCTATCATTAAATCATTTTTGTAAATCACAGTTGACAGGCCGTAAAATAAAGTGATTTCTCGGTTTTTGTTAATAATTTCAACAAAAACCAAAAGAAAAAAAAACTTATTTGGTTGCAAAAATGACAGATTGCTATTGAATTCGTAAACAGTTTTCTATGTAACAGAAAATTTTTCTTTCAGTTTTTCACGATTAAAAGATGACAAAATTATTCCTTAGAAAACAGTTTAGTAGTTGTTATATCAATTAAGTGTTTCTACAATCTTCAACAAAAAAATTATTAATGAAAACAGAAAACCAGTGATAAGTAAAAGGAAATACTAAATTTGATCAACGATTAAACAAAAAAAGTAAAGAAAAAAAAAGAAACAAAAACAATTACCTGCATAGATTTCTTGACAAATCCTTCCAAAAATGTTTTACGCATACGTTCAAACGAGAATGACCTGTAGGTGCAAGCTTCATGAGCAGTAACTCCAGGTAAACAAGTTTTTTCATAGTAGAAATTATTAGCTGCCGGATTAGAGGCTAATTTTGAATTACCGGCAGGACTTGCAGCATCATCAAAAAAGTAACAAGTTTCACGACCATCAAAATTAAACGATGCACATGCTCGTTGTGCACCAGTTGTTGGCTCAATATTATTTCTACAGTACTGAGCACAAGTTAAATCGTGACCAGCTGTTGAAACTACCACTGGAACACCGTCAAGTCTGGCACGAGTTATCCGAACAAATGCTGTTGTTTCGTGATTGTCGCATTCAAATTTTGCCTCAGCAAACAGAATCAGAATATCTAGCAGCAGTAATAATAGGACTACAGGTTTCCTCAAAAACATTACTGCTGTCACTGCGGACCCAGTCGAACTTTGTCTAACTGGTGGAGGATCAATGAGGCAAAACGGAAGAAA